TCTGCTCTGTCTCAGTAGCATAGGAAAATCTCTCATTGTACATTTTCTACTCTTCATGAGTGGAAGGAATCAGGTTATGCCTCTAGCTTTAAATTTAAGCAGGTATGTTGATCAGTTTATTACTTGCAGATAGTCCTATCTTGTGCCCCTACCCCTTAGTTTCCTTCTCTAATGAGTCTTTTAAGATAGTAGGAAAAGGAAAAGATAGTTGGTAGAAATAGCTATTGACACTGATCCTTTCTGGGAAAAGTGGAGTGTTTAGAAGTATTTAATGGAGAGCCAGGTGTAGTGGTGCATGCCTATAATCCCAGAAATGGGGAGGCTGAGGCAGGAGGATAGTTACAAGTTTGAGACCAGCCTGGACTACAAAGTGAGTTCAAGTTCAGCTTGAACTGCATAGTGAGACAGTCTCTAATAAAGACAAAAAGAAAAAAAAAAAGGGTGTATCTATTAAAATTTGAGTGACATTTTATTTATTTATGTTTTGTATTTTAGGGAAGGGTCTACAGGATGTTCAGGGTCTTATTACTAGATCAGACTCATAGGGTTCTGCCTGTTTACAGCCTCCCAAGAGCTGGGATTACAGGCGCACGCCACCACACCCAGTCTCAATTGCCATCTCAGCGTGCCCCAGGGGCAGGGCTGGCATGGCAGGCTCTGGGGATTGAACTGCTGGCCCCTGTACCTGGCTCTTTAATCCGCTGAGCTATTTGGCTGGCCCTGAGTGACATGTTTTACATTAAAATAAAAATCTCTTTTTAAAAAAACTTTAATGTTTGAAAACATTTTGTGTTGTATGAGACAAACTTAGGTATTTATCTTTCAGACACTTCCTTTTACCAGAATTAAGACATATTAGGGAAGGAGAAAATTGTACCATCAAAATTCGATTCTGGTATTTTTTTGGTAAGCATTTTCACAATACATTTTTTGTAAGAATTTTCGCAGAAATAAATGTTCATGTTTCTTTTCTTCCTGATCACCTACTATTCCCATGTGTACTTTGAATCTTTGTATCTTCTTCAGTAACTAGTATCTGCAGAGGCTCATTTAGTAGGATTTCTTTTATTCATCCTACTTATAAATATGCCTTTCTTGCTTAGTATCTTTTTGTCTCCAGACTTGTTTTGGTAATTTATGTAGTAACTTCATGTGACTGCTAGTGTCTTTATACTACAAGTGCTATTTAACAAATACTCCATGGACAAAAATTTGGAAGTATTGTTTTGATTAAAGCTGTTAATGTTTATCATACAGATATAGCAAGCATTGTACAAAGTAGCTCATTATGTATATTGGTATTTGGTGGCTATAAGAGCTGTAATGAGTATGTTAATGTGAAATTGTAGAAGGATGCAGTCCTTGCATGCATGATATGTACTCCTGAATACTGTAATTCAATAATATATTATTTTTAATTAAAAGTGTGTTTACTTAATTGGTATGATAGAACATGCTCTGAGGCACAGATCTTAGGTGTAAAATCTAAACTACTACTATTTGATCCCCTTGAAAATCCAGAGATTTGAGCTGGCTAAAGGCACCAGTGTTCTTTACTCAGAAACTATAAAGAGAATTAGGCAGCTGCTGTCCTTGGTGATGAAATTATTTTATGTGATTGCTTAGAAGGAAAACAACTAGTTAAAAAAGCAAGATTATCTTGAATGTACTGTTTATGGTGATTGTTGGTATATTCATAGATCTGTTTGAACTAGAAAAATACAGACTCCAGTATCGAGTTCCTGACTGCCAGGCAGAGGAAATGTTTAACTATTTTAATCATGTTTCTGTCTCCCAGAAAGAAAGCCCTTATGAGAGGAAATGACAATGTCCTACCACAAAGTTATCTCTTATCAGCTATAGTCTCAGTCGATAATGATTTGTCAAATTTGGACATGTGTAAAATGCAAAGGCTCTGTTATTTACTTTAGAAAGGAAAAATTAGATGAAGCTGATAAAGAAGGAGTCATGGCTTTTGTTAGGAGACAGAAACCATTAGAGACAGTCATTGTTAGCTTAGGAAAGTGTCCTTGGACCCCTCCCTTTTGAAACCTAAACTTGCTTTAATCATTCTTTGCAACTTAAAGGGAGAGAGAGGGCCAAAAGAGGGGGGAAAGGATGAAGATAGCTTGGACAGAAAGTTAATGTTTTAGAGAGCAAAATGTGAGGTCCTTTTTTTTTTTTTAGAGTAGAATATATTTATTGAGGGAAAGAATGGTTATGTCTGAGACGACAGAAGAGGGGCCGAGTGGGTTGTCCCCAAAATGTGAGGTTTTAAACTGGCCTATGGCTATGGTTATAATTCAGGGAAAATTGTCTTTCATTCTACTATTCTTTCCTCCTTCCATTTATTTAGATTTTGGAAACTTCACTTTTACCCAAGTTGTAGTTGTGTAGCATTCCATCACGTACAGAATGTGTTGCTGTTCTCTTTTTTGCCTTTCCGTAGATGTAAGTGATTCTTTTTCATTAGTGAAGTAGGGAAAACACATCTAGCTCAAAGCAACATGAGTCAGTGCATACTTTACATACCTTTATCCTCACAGTACTCTTCTTGGTCTCTTACAGCGTTTATTCCTAGTGTTTCTCACAGAGGGGAGCATGGAGGAAAAATGATTTCTAAATATTAGGCTGTTTGGGGAATAAGGGGAAGGATTGTGAGCTGAAGCTCCTTTTTGAAGGCTCTTTTTGCTCTTTCAGTGTTTGTCTCTATCTTTTGTGCTGCTTTCAAATAAGGGAGTCATGTACTTGGAGAACTAACTAGATATGGTTTTACAGGATAAAAAATAGTAGAACCAACACTTACAGAACAGAACATTTTTTAGTTTGAAGCTGATACAGTGTCAGATACTCTCACCAAAATAAGTTGGATTGTAAATATTTGCTGGTGAAAAGACATTTGTTACCCATCTACAGATAGCTTTCTCTTTTGGAAGTTTTCAGGGATAAACCAGTGCCAGCCCGTTATTAGCCAAACATCTTTCTTTGTTAAGGGGTTTGTTAGCTTGTTTGTTACAGATTTCTAAGGAACTGACCCTTATTATGAGTGTTCATTCTATAAGGATGGATCTGCTGTGGGAGAGGGCCAAGGCTCTCAGGAATGACTATAAGCAGTTTTCCTTTTGAGTGAAACCATGGCACTGAGACAAAGTAAAACAAACTAAACCATAGGAAGAAAAACATAGATCACAAAATTATAATTGTGTTTGATATTCAAAATTAGCCAAAAAATTCACCTTTTTATAAATATATACTTATAGTAACTTTATAAAAAGCTAATTCTAATTAAAAGAAAAAAATTATTTCCAAGTAGATCACATTTTCAAAATGTCACGTATTTCCTTATCTTTTTTCATATGCATTTATAGTTACCTGTTGTTTAAATATTATCTGGAGTATAATTTTAAAATGTGTTTCTATTGTTTTTCTTTGGAGATTGTGTTTTGCTTAGCTGTAGCCTCTGGTTTTCTGGCAAGTTGAATAAATTTCCTGGCTTTTTTGGCAAGATGAAATGGGCTGTGGTTTTTTTGGCAAGATAAATTTCCAATTTGCAATTAAAGAGGGAGCTTTAGTGCTATGGTCATTTAAAATATGGTTGCCTAAATGATCACTTACTGACTCCTTGGGCCAGTTACTCTTGGGCCATGGTGTAAGGTTTTTTTTTTTAAACAATCTTTAGATCCACATAAAGTTTTTTTTTTTTTTTTTCTCATTTACAGAGTTCATAGCATAATAACATGCTTAAGTATAGGAATGCAATCTTTGCCTTCATGGGTGCAAAGCAGATAAGCAGAATTGTCAATAAATTTGAAGCAGTACTTACTGAGCTGTAATGGTTTTCTGAGGAAAAAGGAAATAAGTGTTGTGCAGTTGAGTGAGTAGATTCCATTAAGAAAATCATCTTATCACTACAAGTCCAATCTATGTAGTGAGACCTTATAGACCCGGTCTTAAATACAGGAAAAAAAAAAAAAAAAAAAAAAAAGAAAAGCATCTTCATTAGAGAAGATATACCCAAAGATGACAGGAGATTTACTTTATGAAATGAACGAAACTGACCCTTGAAATCATGAATCAGCTTAACTCAATTTAGATGGTTGCTGCTTATATTTTGATAGACCATGCAGCTACTGGTATTACAGTAAACACTTCCACCAGGTCTTTATTTTATTTCTTTCTCTTTTTTGTTTCATATTATTTTGATCCACATTTATTCTCAGTGTCACCTTTTGTTTTTGTTGATCCCTGAACTTCAGTTATTAATTTCCTTTTTCACTTGAGGAAATTTAAGCCAACGTAAGGTGTAACTTACTCATCGTCAGATCACATACCAAATTAATGTTAGTGCCACAGCTTGATTCCAGTTCTTTACCTGGTGTGATTTTTTAAAAAATAACTTTCCCATGTCTAAATTTAATCAGCGTCCATTATTTATATTACAATGTCTGGTGTTGACTGTATGTTTGGCTTTTCCATTCATTTTTTAGTTTTTGTGTGAAATCTTCCTCCTTTCCACGTGTTTCTGTATTTTGATTGCATGGTAATTTGGGTATTCTCTAATTCTTTTGCTCTTCAGAAGTTGGCTGGCAGACCACTTAATTCATCTTGAGTGGGAACCTGTTTTTTTGGCCACTGAAACTTAGTTTTTGACATGATCTATTATATTAGAAGAAAAATATTCTTTGTATTATCCCTGTAAAAGCTCATAGCCTAAGATATATCTATGCAGGTAGATATAGGTCCAGTGCATTTGTTTCCCTTCTTCTCTCTGTATTGTAATGAGCTTGTCCTAGCCATGGAATATATCTTCATAGCTTATCATTCACATGACTGTAACAATAGAACTTGGTTTTGGGATGCATGGTGGCTTTTGTTTGTTTTGTGTTTTTCATTTAGAAGCTAGACCTGGCCTTAAAGAAAAATGCACATAGATAGTAAAAATGAATGTTTTTGTTTTTCATAGCCTTTTTAAAATTTTTTGTAATAATTTTGTTTTGCAGGTACCTGGTGCCCAAGATTTGGTGGATTTCTCTCCTGTTTATCGATGTCTACACATATATTCTGTCCTGGTGAGTCTTTATTTCGCTCTGCCTAATTAATAGATGGTAAATTCAAACTCATTTTCATTTTTGTTAGTTTTTCTAAGTGTGACAAATGAGAATATAGTTTAAATTTGATTGTATTCTCTTCTGCTTCTTGAATCTTTTGTTCATGTTTGCCGTGTAATACACTATAGCTAATAGATTTCTATTAGTCAACCATAGATTGATAGATTATTACTAGAAATAGTTACATATACATTTAATTTGTTTTAAGTTTTGTAACAATTTCAAATTTAATAATATTACTTAAATTATAATAGCCTGCCTTTACATGTTATTGAAAATTTTTACATTTTCGTTTTTGATATCAATTATTTCTTTTTCCTATAAAACCCATGGAAAAAAATTCTCAGGCAGGTAATGTAGTAGGTATTAATAACAATTTAAGAAATGTCCCTTTCTGCATCTTGATAAAACATTTGCATGTAAACACACATATAAACACAAAGTGAATTTTATTTTATTTAATTTTTTTCCATAATTTTATTGATAAACAAATAGCAATGAGACAGTTTCAAATCAAATTGGTAGGACAGTTTTAATAATTAACACATTGCATACATTCCTCCCACAAAGTGAATTTTAAAAAATTTAACTATAGGAGGCTGAGGAGATAGCTCAGTAGAATAAGCGCTTGTGTGGCAAGCACAAGGGCCTGAGTTCAATCCCTGGTTCTGCTAATAAACAAACAAACAAACAAACAAACAAACAAACAAACTGTAGCATCAGCAAAGTTAAATTGATGAGAGAAGCCCATTCTTGATATTGTTTGTAGTAATGTTCAGTGAAACGTACTCTAGATTTTTCTTTAATGTATTCAAGTATGTCTTATTCCTGAATTTGTTTTCATCCTCCATATATTTAACAAAATGTCACTTACTCTTTGCTCTAGAATTCTGAAACACTGTAGATTTTTAATTGCCTAAGGAATTCTGTGATAGTCTCCATTATTTTAAGAAAGACTTACTAGCTTTTTCTTTTTTCTCTTTCTTATATTGTCATCTCCCATTCCTCTCATTTTTCTCCTCTTTCTGTCTCTGTATTTCCCTCTCTTCATTATCACTGTTTATGTGAAGATGAAACCAGGTGAAGACTGAGTTATAAAAGGTGTTTAAAATAAACATGCAGTTGTTTTCAATCTTATTTATAGAGTTAGGTAAATCATTTGTATGTTAGGTTGTTACACACTTACCATTTTACATAACACTCTCTTACATCTTATTTTATTAGGGTTTCATCATTAATTTCTTAGCTATAGATCTACCTGTCTGTTCTCAAAGTATGCTAACTGTGATATGTTTAATATGTGCATTGATATGCATGTAGCTTGGGAAAATGAATGAGTGTGTTTTTAATTTATTCAAGTGTTTGTTATGGATATGGGTCTGTTTCTTGTATTTTTTGTTCAGCATTTATACTTTATTTTACTTATTGCAGTACTAGAGATGAAACTCAAGACCTTTGCATTGAGCTACATCACCAGTCCTTTTTATTTTTTATTTTGAGACAGGAACTTGCTAAGTTGCCCTGGGTAGGTTCAAGTTTTCTGTCTTCCTGCTTTATCCTCCCATAGTGCTTGGATTATGGGCATATGCTATGATTCCCAGATAGCTCTATTTTAAATATATATTCTTATTATAGTTTGTGTATTTGACTCATTTCCTCTCACTGAAGTGTGACAGTTAAGTAATGAACTGTGTTTTCTATGTTTTATTAATTTGTATTTAGCAAAAACTAGTACTTACTTATAGACTTCTGTGAATCTGCATATTTTTTGTACGAAAGAGTGGACTCGTTGGATCATAATTTCTAATAACCAGTTTCATTAATTTCTTGTTACCTGATGAATATTGAATAGAATCTCTTTGCCTAAGTTTTTATTTTTCAGAGTACTGGTAAAATTGTCCTTTTCCTTATGGATTCACTAATAATTTAATGCCTATTGTAACCCTTACTGTTTGTGTTGAAGTTCTTTTTTTATTTTTGCTGGGAAAAAATAGTAGAAATTCTTTAGGTATTACTGATATTGACAGTTAAGAATATGCTGACAACCTGGGGAAAGACATTATAGCTGCTTTTCATGACTGAAAGTCCCAGTTTTAATATAGTCAAATATATTATTTTATATCTTACAGTTCATATTTCTTGAGTTATGATTAAAAGTTCCTCTCTGTTAACATGGTTACAGAGTATTCTCTTTATACTTTCTTTCATATTTTACTACTCACATTTTGCTGACTCAGATCTTACTATTCACTTACATTTTAAATAAACACTCAATTTGTTTTTTGCATGAATTAGATTTTGAGAGGCAAAGATATATAACAAAGTTAAGAATTTATGCTTTAAAATGATTAGGGTTCACCAGGAGAGGTTATATTCTTTGAATAGCTGTGACAACCCTATATCTCTTCATTATGTGTATACTATTTTATAACCTTTATTAAGATTTTATGATAGAAAAACAGAATAAATTTTTCTTACTGAGAATTCCTATAGTAATTTCTAAGAGTATTGAAGTAATTTAATTGTGTACTTACTAACTATATGTTGTCAGGCTCCCCTAGCTTTCTCATATATGAAATGATACATAATATTAATAATAATATTACTTTTTCATATATAGTATAATAATGACCTACTTAGGCATTTATAGATATTGAATGAATAGTCTTGGCAAAAATTGTCATTTGATAAATGCTTGCTGTCTGCTGAGAGTTGTTTCTCTGATGGTTAGAGACAGTATTAGTATTTTAAAAATTATATAACGGGAGAGATATATACATACGAGTTCTAATTTCTGTCCTCAGCATACACATTTTACACTTGATAAAACCTACACATTCTTAATTGTCCAATGACTATATAATATATATATATATATATATATTTATATTCAAATATCATAGAAGCTATTATGTATGGATAATTCTCTAGAAATGATCATGCTATAGTTAAAGAGGAGGACCTTAAACTTTCCATTAAAAAATTCTATACATTAGTGTTCTATAATAGTGAAATGTTTGATATTCATAAGTCTTCTGTAATTTGTAAGGCCTTGTTTTTGTGGTAGATACATGTCTCTTCCCCCATTTGCAGTGTTTCCCCAGTTCTATTTTTGGGTGGATACAGCATATACTTATGTTTTAGACATTGCTATTTCAGACTTATAGAAATTTTGATTAAATCTCACTTATTTTGCTAAAGCAAGAGCCACAGCATGTATAAATACCAGTATCAATGTCATAGCATTTTGAGGACTATAATTTTTAAAGTTTTTCTTTTTTACTTGCTTTTCCATTCCCAAGTCACTAATTTGTATTATTCTATGGTAAAGGATAACTTCTTATAATATTAATAAGACATTGAAAATAGATTACTTAATATAAAGTTTTTCTTATTTCCTAATATAGTTAATAATAGAATGGAGGGCTGGCCAAATAGCTCAGTGGATTAAAGTACTTGCAAGCAGGCGCAGAGGCCAGGGATTCAATCTCTGGCCTGCTCTGCTGGCCCTGCCTCTGGGGTGTGCTGAGAGGGCAATTGAGACTGGGCGTGTGACACACGCCTGTAGTCCTAGCATTTGGGAGGCTGTAAACAGGAGAATCACTATGAGTCCGATCCAGTAGTGAGACCCTGAACACCCTGTAGACCCTTCCCTAAAATACGGGGGGGGGGGAATGGAAAAAAGATTTTCTAGGAAAAGAGGCTCAAGGCAAGCATGGTGGCACAAACCTATAATCTCAGCCTTCTGAGAGGTTGAGGCAGAAGAATCAGAAGTTTAAGCCAGCCGAGGCATTTAGTGAGTTAATAAGACCTTGTCTTCAAATAAAAAATAAGAGTGATAGGGCTATAGATCAGTAAGAAGGCCCTGGATGTAATTCTTAGTCTCCAAAGGAAATAAAAGAAAAAATGAAAAGAAGATTTGAGAGTTGAGAAACAAGGACCAAGAAGAAAATAGCCCCTATCTCTCTCATTTCTTTCTATTCCAATACTTGTCTCTATTTCTACATTTCATTTTCTCATCAGCTAACTGCTTATCTTGCCCAGAATCTATATCTTATCAGGCAGACATCCTGCCTTTTACTTTGTCATTTTCAGCTTTTCACTCATGCCATTTGCCTGATTTGTGCTCCCGGTATTCTACTCTTGTCTCACTTCTCTTGTTTTTTGCCTGTTTAAAAGATATAGCTGGGGATATAGCTGAGTGGGCACAAGCACTTGCCTGACAAACACAAGGCCCTGAGTGTGATTGCTGGTTCCAAGGAAAAAAAAATCTGTGGTAAAAGATGTAATCATTCTCATGGCTTGAAGTGCTAACTTTGAAATCTCTTATTTTTGTGTTTTACTTTTCCCTTGAGTTTCAGACTTGTCTAATGTCATGTGAAGCTCAGGGTGTATGGTGGTAGGTGGCATGTGGACTTAACATGCACAAGGCCTTTGGTCTAATCCTCAGCCTCCCTCCTACTACAAACAAACAAACAAACACAAAGAAACAAACAGACAAACATAAAACCTAACCTTTTAAATTCCACAGGGAGCATAAACTTAGTATCTCTTTATGTTTCAAAAAGTACTCACTGTCATCACCTCCACTCCGGCCCAGTGTACTTGTCTTCCATTTGCAGTGGTGTCAGATAATATCAGCATCTAGTCACCAGTCAGAAACCTAAACTTTTATTTTTTCTTTATATGATATTCAGATATTTTCAAGTAAATTTTGAAATGTTACTTCCTAAATAGTTTAATTCCATTTCTTCCTTTCCTATCCAAAAGCAATTTTCCTAGTTGAGATTTCTGTCTAAATTATTAGTTTCCCTTAACTGATCTACTTTATTCCTCAAACTTTTCACTTAGTTTTTTCATCATGGTCCTAATAATTTAGTATGCAAGTCAAATGTAAGTGTTATCTGCTTACAGTTCTCTAATTGGTCATCTTTAGAGTAAGATAATGAACTGTAGAAGAA